AGAGTGAAAAATTTAAGGGGGTCTGAATACTTTCCGTACCCACTGTAAATGAGTTAAAAGTATCTTACCACACAGATACACAGATAATAAGGCTCTCATATTGACCTCAAGCTGTTTGTCAACAATTTAAGAGAAGATACAGGCTTTGTGATGAGTTAACATGTTGTGAACATGCCTCAGTAAAACATCTAATCCAGTTGAAAGTTCTCACAATGCTGCTCTCATCCAGCCCCCTGTCAGTTTACCTTCAGCAAAACTTTCAAGGTTGTTGACTTCCGGGAGGGAAGAAGGAAAAAAACAAAGACCCTGCTCTGAGACTGGCGACGCTGCATCTCCCTTAATGAAATCACTGAGTCCTGTCCAAGTGGCTGCTGGTCCTGGAGGGAGGCCACGAACTTCACTTTTCTCTCTCTGTCACCCTAACTCTCCTCCCATTCCTTTCTGTTCCGCTGTGCTCTGTCATCCCTCCCTCTCCTTTTCATCTCTCTCAGGCCTAACTGACCACACCGCTCACTGAGACTGTGCCAGAAATGTTTGTACTGATGTTGTACTTTAGGGCATGGTTTTCATTTTAAGTTCCCTTCTTAAAACCTGCACCAGCTGATTTTCTGGGCCACCTGGGGGTACGAGTACACCTGCCTCTAGTGTTAAAATACTCAGAGGTTAATCTTGGGAAGACTGAAGGGGTACAAAGTGTAATGAGAGACCACAGTCTGCCACAACTTTACTAAAATGCTAGGTACTACTTACATGTTGTTACTTTGTGCTGTCCTGCAAAATTATACATTTGCTTTCTTTTATTAACGTAGGAAAATAGTGTTAAATATAATTTCTGGAGCACAGCTAGAGACATTATTGTTTATCATTGTTAGCTGATTTTATGAATATCATTAATTCCACACTGTATATTAGAAAAGAAAACCAGATTTATTAACCTTCTCTCCAGTTAATGAGTTAATGTTACTGGCACACAGAACACTGCATCAGTCTTGTCTTGCTGCTTCCTTTCTTCCCACCTCCCACCTAACTTGTTATCCCAACTTCCCCTCCATGCCCCTCCCTCTTCCTCCGCTCCTCCCGTTGGATGTGTTCACTAATGACATGCCGGCATCATTGTCCTTGGGAGAGAAGCCTTTTTATTCCAGTAAGCCTTTTTCATTTCATTAGGCTTGAATTTATAGTCGCGCGCACACACACACACACACACACACACACACACACACACACAGACAGGGTATATTTATAGAGGTAGACAGCTCCACAGAAGCCCCTGTTAGTTTCACTACTACTCTTACTGTGCATGTAGGAAGCCTAGGGAAGACTGACACTGTATGTATGGCATAAACTGAGGCAAATATAAAGAGTGCAAAGCATAGACCAAACACCCATACACACAAACAGGCACCCTCAGAAATGCAACTATGATGCACGTAACTAGGATTAATCAAAAATCAGAACTCTAGGTCTAAACAGCAGGTTCATGCATTGATTTCCCACAAGTGTATGTGTGTTAATGTGTGTTGTGTGTGCGTGTGGGGGGGTCACATTCACATTTGGATCTTAGTGTGAACCCTCATTAGTTTAGAAAGGTCCATTAGTGCTAAATTAATTAAAGTAACATACAGCACAACAGAGAAAGAATCAAAGAACAGGATCTGTCCACACAGGGCATCTCATCTCCCACACACACACACACACACACACACACACACACACACAGCATTTAATGTTGTTCGATTAGGGACAGCAACATGTGGCTTTTGCTGCATTTCCACTAAGGGAACCTAATGAGCGATCACCCCCTTCTTCCCTTACCCGTCACCAAGCGTAGCCTCTGGGGATGATGTGGATCATCCTGCTTTGTTTTTTTTTTCTCTCTGTCGGTCTCTGCTTAGAGGAGGGAGGGGCTGCTGCTCGCACACAGGCAGTCAGCTGTGAGTTTGCCGAAGTTTAGCTCCAAGAAGGCACCTCCAAGGCTTTGGAAATGACACTATTTGGCCTCAAGGAGCACTAAAGCACTACAACTGAAACTCAGTGCTCAGTTGCGTCTCCCCCCCTTGCTCAGTAAATCTGCCTCCAAGACCAGGCATGTGTTCACGCCACATTGCATTTGCCACTATTTTGAGTTTGTTAAAAACACACTCCCCCCCTCTGAGGCTTTCTGCATTGTCATATTTTGTACAGTCTGATTTAGTTAGATGAATTCTGCTCCTCCCTGGGAACTTGTTCACTGTCAGTACAATTACAATTTTGTTTTATGATTTAAAAAATAAGCACGTCTAAAAAGCAAATGTGCTGTTGCCTTTATAAAACAAGACCAATGTGTTAATGTTTCCTTACATTAACTGAGACATTTTAAAAAAGCAGCACATTACAGCTTGGTACATTCCACCGTTCTAGTCGAGACTCAGTGCTGTTCTCAGCATTTTAAGCAGTTATTAACATTGCTGTTGTTTATGTCGATGTCACTGATAAGCTTTTTCAGGAGTATTTGAGAAGCTACGTATGTTGCAGAAAAATAGTAAATGGGTTATTAGAAAATAAATAAAATGTTTAATACAAAAGAAGACAATCTAATTATATAGGTCAAAATAAAACCTGTGAGGTGCTATCTCTACAAGGTTTGAATGACAAATTTACAAAATCAGCTTCTGCGTTTGTGTCAGTGGAAAGACTCACCTCAATGACACGTGAATCGAAGTCCTCATAGGTTTCTGTGGAGAGCAGAGGAATAAAAGAAGTTTAGATTCAAACATATATAGCTTTTACATACAAACACATTTAGGCGCAGGCCCATACACACTACTCAGGCAATAAACAGATTAAACTAGGCTCCTGCAAGCGTAGCAAATAACCAGAAGCCCTTGCAGCAGCGCAACAGGTTGACACCTTTCATTGTCAGTGAGTTCTAAAGGATCCCAGAAGCAGCCTGTTCGCTTCTAACCAATTAACAGCAAACAAAGGAGAGCTGACTCAAGGAGGAGAAAACACACACACACCTCTCAGCTGGGACAGTCAGCCATCATCTGTAAGAAACTAAACCTGATCAGAGACTAGTAACTGAGTTACAGCTCTGTGTGCATCACGTTCACCAGGCCCCATGTGTATTTGTGTGAGAGTGACTAACAGTCTGTGAAAGAAAGTGTCTGTACAAGCAGGAGTGAGAGCACAAGTGTATTTCACGGTGTGAGACAGCTTGTTAGGAAGGGGATAAGAGAGAAAACCTATCAAGAGGAAATGAGAGAACAAGAATAAGGAAGATGTGAAGCAAGTGAATAAGCGACTGAATATAAGAAGGACAAAGAAGCAAGAAAATGTGCTTTGCGACTACAGAGCCTCAGAGCTCATTTGTCAGCAATTTGTGGTAAACAAGCTACACTCGAATCCGATAGCACAGACTAACGTTTAAACATGAAATAAGCTGGGAACTGGAGGCCAGGACCTCCATTAGCTGGAACTAACCAGCGTTGTACCTCAGGGTCTGTCATGAAGAGTTGATCAGGCAGGAAGCGCGTCTTTATGGGCTTCAGAGACAGTTAATAATATAGTATAACATTGAACTTCTAACCAAGTGTCCTGATGCAGGGCTCAGGATTCTGTTTTACACTGTCTGATTTCACATTATCAAATGTATCATTTATATGTCCACAGAAACTGTATTTCGATGTTCATGAACACTCCAGATCACCAGTGAAAACCAAAAGCAAAGCGTTGTGCCTCTGTTCCATGTTCTGATGAGGTTTTCAGGACCAGTGTATGTGTACCATGTATACATGCCACAGAGGAAAAGAAGGAGCTGCTCACAGCTGCAAAACATTAAAACTAAATGTGGATGGTGGACAAGCAGCTCCAGAAACACTTTAGAAAACCAAAACTGACAGCAAAAATAATACTGTGAAAATGTGTGCACAGTACCTAATGTGTTCAATTAGCAGAGGAGTAATTTGTTTACAGGTAGCATTTAATAAAAAGATTTAGAGCACAAAAACACGGACCAAAGGTTTAGGCTAACTAACAGTGTTAATGGACTCGCATTAGTTATATTCATGCGCATTTGCTAATTAGCACTACAAACAAAGAATGTCTTTTGTAGGTATTGGATTAGAAGAAATGTTACTTCATATGAATGTCAGTACAAATTTTCAACCAACAGCAATAGAGAAACACATGGCTCTAAAGCAGGGGTCTCAAACGCCCGGCCCACGACCTGATGTCAAAATAGTAATGTAACTCGGCCCTTGAGGTTATATTTTGTTATTTCGTTTTATCCCCACAATAACCACTTATTGTGAAAATTAAGTATTTGTAATTATTTATAATTTTTTCATAAAAAACACATTTATTTTGAAAATGGTAAATACAGAACAAAAGTTTTTAAGCAAACAGGAAGCGCAGGTCCGGAGCCGTACGGTGTGGCGCTGCTTCCAGAGTACGCGGCAAAAAACAATAAGGAGACAAAACAGAAGTAGCGCGGAAGGTATGTCACTTTCAAAATCAAAAAGAAAAGTGGACAGTGAGCACAGACAGTTTCAAGAAAAGTGGACATTGCAGTATTTTTTTTGTTGAGTTAGGTGGAAATGCAATCTGCCTCATTTGTAAAGAGAAACTCGCTGTTCTTAAGGAATATAATATCAAGTGCCATTATTGGAGTAAACATGGACAACCTTAACTACAATGGAGACGACAGGAGAAAACGAGCCACGCAGCTACAAAGAGGACTAGTAATGCAAGGACTTTTCCACAAAACTGGGGGCAATAGGATGCAATAAAAAGTGAAGTTAAATGCAGTTTTTTTTTTTCTTGTTTAACATTATACTGTTACTGTTTCAGATTTAAATATGAAGACAAGTTGCAAAGATGTCAGTTGTGTTGTAAAATATAGCGTTCTGGAATTTCATTCAGTTCAGTGCAATGTTTAAATAAGAGGAAAAGGTTTGCCTTGCCTTTGGTGTGAAACATGCAAATATATGCATAGTTTTTTATTTTTGTCACGATTTTATTTATATATATACACAGGTTGCTAGCACAGGTGTCTTAAGTGTTAAAATACATGTGTTCAAGATATTTGCAGTTTATTCATTAAAATGTTATTCATTCAAATGTTACCAATAAATATTTAATATTTGCATTAGCTATTTTGTATTATTAAAAGCACATTTTCAAAAATATGTTATCTTTTGTATTACTCGAACACTGATGTGGCCCTCCAGTGAGCTGACGGTGGCAGTGGTGGCCCCCAGCTCATTTGAGTTTGAGACCCCTGCTCTAAAGCATCTAAGAGAAACAGTTTGTCATTTAGGTTCATTTTCCAAGTACAGAGGAGAGAAAGAGACGAGCGTGCCTCCGAGGAAAGACAGAAATGGAAAAAATGGGATGACAGTAGAGGTAGAGAGAGACAGAGATAGAAAGGTATGAGAGAGAAAATGGTTCTGGAGGCACAAAGGGCGACTAGGAGGAGGGAGAAAACTGGATGAGCAGTAAGACAAAGATGTCTTTCTAATTTAGGAAATTGTCCTACTTGGCACTTTGGTTGAATCCTTCATCAGTGCTAATGAGGCACCACACTGCTCTGTCACTCCGCTTCTCGCTCACACACGCACACAGCAGCATACCCCTGCTTCATTCATCACTACAATCATCACTGTGTCTTTCCATCCCACGCCACCTTATTGTATATACTGTATGCGTATGTTTGTGGAGACTCGCTGTGTCAGGATCTCGACTCATCACTGCCTCTCCAGTCAGCACTGAAGCCAGATTTATATTTCTTTACTGTTATGAAGTGCGGTTAATAATCACCTTTCAACCATAAATGGCTAAATAATGTGGTTTTCAGCCTCTCAGATGTGACACTTTCATGTTTTCTCAGTTTCATATCATACTAAACTGATTATCTTTGAGTTTTGGACATAAAAATGAAAAACACTTAAAAATGGCACCTGGAATTTTTCAGAAACTGGGACAGGTTTTTTTTTTTCTATTTTCTGACATTTTATAGACTAAACAATTTATCGAGAAAATAATTGGCAGATTAATCGATAATGAAAATGACTGTTTGTTGCAGCCGTACATGGTGTAAGTCACATTCAACTAGCGTCGCAGTTGGGCTACAACAATCAGCAGGTGAAGGCCTGTGGTGAAGTCAGTTCCTACATCCCACATCTCTGGCAGGACCAACGTGTCAACCTGATGTTTACAGTGCAATGCAACATTACGTCTGGGTCACTCCTTCATGAGGCTTTCCTGGTCATATAAATGTGTTTCTACACTGTGAGTGCAGGTGTGTTATTTACCTCCGTTGGGTCCAGGGTCAGGGGGGCCCAGGCTGATGCCCCCCCAGCAGTTCCCCGACCACCCTCTCTCCCTCTTCACCTTCATCTTCTTCCTCCTCTCCCATTCATCCCTCTGACGCACTACAGGAAGACACAACCGTGATTGGGAAAAGTGTCAATGTGTGTTCTAACTATGCATTTTAACTGTGTCTATTTCTTGGCTAGAGGATGCAAAATGAATTTAAGTGTAAAAGCTTACAGTAAAGTTGTACTGCACTATACAACCAGCACATTTAGCACCAAAGCTCTGAGAACACACAGAGGCCACAGCTGGTGTCAAAGAGCACAGCGTGATAAATGTGAAAAGGTGCTATCTGTCAGCATCAAATTATCTGTATAATTACTGCTAGCAGCTAAGATCACAGTGGGAACAAACAGGAAACTTCTCACACCAGTGGTGCTGATGGTGCTTCTGTTTCTCAAGATTAAGACCATGCTGGTTGTTCCTGGTAGCACTCTTCCAGTTAAATCATTTCTCTCTGGCTGTGGAAAATGAAGTGACTGACAGTAGCTGGGATCAAATCAAATGGATCAATGTGTTCTTAAATTCATGAGGGTCTGTGGTGTTAAGGTTGTAGTACATTTGTATGAGATATATTATTTTTGTTCATTTTGTATGTCCAGCTTGATTGTGTGCATTCGGCCCCTGCACCTCGTTCAGCTTGCACCTCCTGCTGCTCGGCCTCGCCTCTTTGACTGATGCTCTGCAGAGCACCGTCCCTTATCACCGGACTGTTCAGACCAGGCCACAGGAAACCACCACGCCCTGTGGGTTAAAGGATATGAAGAGGAAAAGAAAAAGAAATAAAAACAATGACAAAACAACTATTTCCAAATCAAATGCCTCCTAATGTGTATGTATATGGACAACTGAGAGGGAAGTAAATGACAATCCCGTTTAAATAACAATTTGACAGAAGAAAATAAATACCGGTAGGTACATAATCTACTACAGATGTATTTGGGTTTTGGGAGTTTACAGGTTTCAGAAAATGTATTTTAATAGTTCAAACTTGTTCAAAAGTTTTTTTTTTCTTAAAGCTACTTTATTAGTCCTAAACCCATGACTGAATAACACATTCAGGACATTTTAAAACTGCTTCTTAAATTAGATGATTCAACAACAGAGAGATTGCAACAAAAGTATGGATGCAAAAGAGTGACTTATTACAGACATTTATTTAAAGTGACGCAAAGTAATGTAAACAATCTGATTTTCACATGTGGAAATACAGAAAGATCACAAACATCTACAAAGATAAAGAGACGGATGTCCCATAGAGACAGAGGCAGACAGATATTGTCTCACCTTCTCCGATGTACTGCCCTAGGTTCAGGTCTCTCCTCAGTTTGCGTTTGGTTCTCTTCCCTCGGCCCTTCCTGGACGAGGAACCAGACTCCGCCAACACACCTTTCCATAACTCTTCAGCCGTCACTGTGATCACAAACACAAAAAAATATGAACTTAAAAACAGCAGCTCCAAATATCTGTCAAATATTTTTTTCTTTCATGTGCATTAAACATACATCCATCCATCATTTTCCTCCGCTTATCCGGGACCGGGTCACGGGGGCAGCAGTCTAAGCAAAGATGCCCAGACTTCCCTCTCTCCAGACACTTCCTCCAGCTCCTCCGGGGGA